TTTAAAAACTAATAAAGCAGTCAGAAGCAAAGGAGATTTAAACACTCTGTCTTGGACTTCAGTAAAAATCCTCAGGAAATCAACATGAATTTATATACAGTGACTGGAATTGCCCCCTGAGTGAACCGTGTATCTTTTGGATATCTGAATTCTTTCAATATGAATGAAAGATTCCCCAAACCCCTGTCAAATGAGAAGGTTTGATTACTTTTATAGCTTGGCCTATGTATGACATTCATTTTTTTTTCAGTCTTTTCAATATATAGTTTCTCTGCAGCTATAAAAAGACTTCTTCATACAAGAATTTAAACTAATTGCCTCCCTCCCTGCACTTTCTAGAAATTCCAGTAAATCCTCGAGTCTGGGGCAATACTATCCCCACCGTTGGCATTCCTATAGAAAAAAATACCTCTCAGTTAGAGATTGTGCATTGAATTTGCATGACTCCTCCGAGGCTGACATGTACAAAACAAGATTCCATTTTCTTTCTAGAAGAAGCCTATCCCATCTCTGCATTTTTCATATACAGTAATAGTTCTTTTTCATATTTGCATGTTCAGAAGAGCTCATGAGGAAGGCAACAGTAATGCTATTTATAGAAAGCTTTGCATGGGGTTTCATTTGGGAATATTTATTATCCTCTCCCATCTAGCCTACTAGAGCTTTTCACTCTTGAATTCCTTGAAGACCCATTTTTGTTGCTGAAGCATCTGAAGTGGAAGTAGATACCATCAACTCTGGAGCAGAACGTACACTGATCCATAGCAAGAGAGGAAGTTGTAATGTCAGCTCTGTTAGGACCATACTGTGTGATCTTGGGGTCATTTATTTGCCTAATTTACCACATGTGTAAAGAGATGATTTTATTGATGAATATTGATGATGGTGATGCTGCTGCTGGTGGTGGTGGTGGTGATGATGATGTATGCTTGCTCTCAGCGTTGGCTCATTGTGTCCTCTTTACACGCTGACGCTACAAAGTACTTTGAACATGTTGTCTCAGTTGCTAACAGCAGCCTTGTGAGAAAGATACTGTCTTCCTCATGTGTTAGATGAGGAAGTGCAGACTTTGCGTGTTTGAATAACTCCCCAAGGACGCACAATTAGGAGAATGGTGGGCCCACATCTATTCTCACTTTTTAGCCGGTTCTTAGAAGAGATATCAAACTGTGGGTGGTCTCATCTTAACAGAGGTAAATAAGACATTGGAGATGGGAGAAGGCAAGAAGTAGGTTTCCTTTTCTAATTGCTCATTTAGAATTCGTATTAAAAGGTAACAGCTTACCTTCTGTGGACTCATGAATAGTTTATCCCGAGGCACTGAACTCCTTTAGCATCTCTCAAAAAAACTCTCTCTCTGCCTTCAAAAGAAAAAAAAAAACAGAGACCACAGTCTGAAAATGTTAAAGTTCAGCCACCTTATTTAAGAAGTGTTTGCTCAGAATTTCCCCCTAGATCTGAAGGTTGCAGCTGCAATTGTGCTTTTCCTGACAAGCTATCACTGAAGTGCCCTTCACTGGAAACCTTTTGATGCCTTGCTGCTTGGCTTGTCCTTTCAAGTAATCAAAGTTAATTTCAGTCATGCTTATGCAGAAGGTCTTCTTCTAAGATGACAAAGGAACAGTGTCACACCTTTTAGGCAGAGCAGTGGAAGGGGCTCGCCCCATTTATGTTTGTGTTTCTATACCACATCCCCTGAAGTGGCAGGGAGCCAGTGATCCCGCATGCCCAGGGCGTGTGTGAGAAAATACACTTGTTTCCTGAGCACTTGCTATCTGCAGTTGGATATTTTCAAACTTGATGTGTTTCGTGTGTGTGTGTGTGTGTGTGTGTGTGTGTGTGTGTATGAAGGATAGATTCATTGGTGCTGTTGGAAAGATACCTCCTAATTATACATCTGTGAGTCCAAAAAGCTGTTGTTTTATGCAGAGACATAATAGGAGTGGTAGCCAAGAGACAAGAAAAGGTTTGGAGCCAGATACACCGCAACTGAAATCCTGACACTTTTTCAGTAGCTCTCTGGCCTTGGTCGTGTTATTTAATTTCTCTTAAAATATTATCATCATTCAATTTTTCTACTCAAGGCAAAGGAATACCATTCTGAAGTTAATGTTAGTTTTGTACTTGCTCTGTTTTTGAGATACCAAAGCCAAACGTTGTATCAGACATTTTCTCTCTTCCCCAATCTGGTAATTAAAGCTGTCATGTCATGAAATGGTCCATTATAAATAATCAAAGGGCTCTAAAAATTCTCTAAGATGTGGCACTGTAGTAATCTTAGTTTTATTCAATTAATGCTAGTATACAATTAAGTCAGTATTTTAAATATTTTCCTTTTTCTCAAACATTTCCACTTCATATGGCCTAAATTTGTCTTTTCTCCCCCACCCATCTCGACTCCAGAATATAGTGAAAATAGCCCCAACCCAGAGGCCACGTGGATTTCCCCCTCAGTCTGTCAGAAGTTAGCAAAAGCATCACCACTAAGTCCATGACCCTTTAGGCCTCATCTGTAAAAAGTAAGGACTCGGGTACACTGGTTTCCTGGATCTCCAGGGGCACAAGAATTTATGTCTGAATCTGCCTTGTTGAGATCCAACTTGGGGTTTCTTTCAACAGGTTATTCCATCTCACTAGTAAGTGAGTGCATTCCAGAACTGCCTACACAGAGATGGACAAGCCTTTGGAGCCCAATAAAAACCCAGGTGCTCAGTCATTAAGTGTCTGCCTTCAGCTCAGGTCATGATCCCTGGGTCCTGGGATCGAGCCCCGCGTCGGGCTCCCTGCTTAGCAGGGAAGCCTGCTTCTCTCTCTCCCACTCCCCTTGCTTGTGTTCCCTCTCTCGCTGTCTTTCTCTGTCAAATAAATAAATAAAATATTAAAAAACAAATGCAGGCGCTGAATGCTGAGGGGCCCGGGAGCCGGCAGCCCTGGAGTCTGCTCCCAGCCCCTGCCGTGGGCAGGCAGTCCCCTTCTGCCAGCTTCCTCCTGGGGCTCGGGAGGATTCTGCTCCATGACGCTCCGAGGTCTCCCTCACACCGGACATTTTCTGATTCGGAAAATAATTGTGGTCACGATTGTTAGGTCCCAGAAACACACCTGGCAATTTGGTTTTTGCCCAAGGGCGAGTGATGGCACCGACCTCCCCTGTTTACTGAATTGACTTTAAAAAGCAAACCGAGCTGCCCTGAGCTCACAGACGGCATGTTTTGTTGAGCGTGGAGGAGGAACCGGGTTATGTAATGCCGAGTTATGTAATATTTGTTCTTAGGTGCCAGCCTCAGCAGCGGGGCCGATTCAAGAAAACCCTTTGGCTATACTTTGTAAAGGCTTTTAATAGCCAGCCATGGCGGGACCGCTCCCCGAATCCTGGTGAGGTCAGGGGGCCTGTGCACTGTGCACAGAAGCTGCCCTTTCGGACAGCTGGCAGACTGTAAATACCTCACTTGACTGAAGAGGTTTTCTTCACTGGGCCTCGACAGGCCTCTCAGAAAGAGTGGGATGGGGAAGGAGAGACCAGGAAAAAGAGCAAAACCGAGTGTGCCTCCCACGGACAGCCCTGCTTTATGTCCTGCCCGCGCAGCCCTGCCCTTGCGTCCCGACCGGAAGCAGCTGAGTCTCTCCTCAGCCGGGTGGCAGGCTCCCTGAGGGCTGGGCCTGCCGTGTCCAGTGACCCACGCAGCGCCCAGCGGACACCTTTCTGCGTTCACCGGCTCCCCGCGGGAAGGCCTCGAAGGCCCTTCCTCCTCCTTTCTTGCCTGCCGAAATCGTGTCCGCCGGGCCGCCAAAGCACGGCAGTGTGACTCTGCGGCATTAATTACATGGCACTGCAGTGCTGTGTTCATAAGACATGTCTGCCCTTAGCCCCTGACCTTCCAGAGAGGCAGGGCTATTTCCTTGTTCACCGTGGTACCCCCGGTGCCTTGTAGATACAGTGAGCCCTCCATTAATCCTTCAGAGTCATGAAAGCTTGGTCGGAAGACACGGAAGGAAGAGTTTTAAACTGAAACTCAGAAAGACTGGGTCTAGCCCATGCTGTGCCCCTGACCCAGGGCAAGAGCAGCAGACTTGGCCTTTCTGACCAGAAGTCTTCCTAGCATCTTCGTGAACGCAGAAGGACATAAAGCGCGCTGACACCCTCTACCATCAACAGAGCCGCTCACCAGTGAGTAGAGTTAACAACCTTCAGGCCCCAGCACTGGGCCCTCAAACTAAATATCCTGCTTTGCCTGAGGATGTGGCTACCGCCCAGGTACCAAAAAGGAAGCCAGGAACTCCTCCTGGAAATTAGTGTATTGGCCAGAATAAACCGAAAACAAAAGTCGATCTGGTGAGGTGAATTCCAAGAGTAGGAAAGAAGGCTCGGTTCCGATTTTCTTACCCCACTAGGAGGCACAAAGGGCACGGGATCCAGGAGTCGGGAGAGGTTTCAAATCCTGGTCGTCACGCCCTAGCTTTCTGAACTTAGGAAAATGACTTCCTGCGGAACTCCTCTTGTTCCCACCTTGTTGGGAGGTGAGAAGACAGAGAAATGTGTCTGTAAAGCATGCACCCCAACACCTGGCCCGTGGTGAATGTTCAGTAAATGAAAGGTCGTTGCAGCCGTGTCCGTGCATCAGCTTGTTTTTCTCCGTACTTCTTTTAAAATCTCAAGTGCTGAAATGACGGAGTTGTGTCACAGTTTGGTTTCAGATCTCTAAACGTGCAGAAAGGGAGCCGCCGCCAGTCCCCCTCTCAGGCGGCTCTGTTCTCCAGTCTCCTCCATGGCGACTCCAGAGGCTTTGCTAATCTGCCGGCTCTTGGCATATGGTACTTGTTGTAATATAGGTCTGACTTTCCAAAATACTTTTCAGTGGTTTCAGTGAAGTTGCAAAGACTAGATTCCAAGTGACAGTTTCTGTATGAAATATTTATCACATGCTGATAAAAGCATATCCACCGACTGGAACCAGGAGGGCAAAAGAGAAGTGCAGTTCACTATTCTTACTTTCTTCTTTTAGATGTTCCTGTCACATTGTGGACTGCCAGGCAATGAAATGAAGGAAAGACTACAGGAAAATAAAAAGAGCAGGTAGAGCCAGTTGGTGTTTGGAAGTGAAAACTGGGGGTGCCTGAATTTGAATAAATAAAGGTGTCCTCAAATTCAGAAGACGGGAAGGCAGAACCAGGAGCCCTTAATGGGCCTAGCAGGAAAGCACACTATACAGGTAGAAAGATTTGGTTCCACCGTTGTCTTTTCTTTCTTTTTTTTTTTTTTTAAGATTTTATTTATTTATTTGAGAGAGAGAGAATGAGAGACAGAGAGCATGA